AGAAACAACGGGTTGGACAGCTTTTGCCATACTTAGGTTTTGCAAAAGCAGATACGCCAGGTTGATCAGACCTGGCGCCCACTATCACGCATAGCTTCGTTGGCATGCGTTTGGCGTGCTAGCCGCATGCCCCCTGCTAAAATAGGTGAAGGAGCAAACCGAAGAACAATCCGAAAGGATCACTTGAAGGGTTACACACACGCCTCCCCGAGGGGAGGCAGCAGGTAAAGATCGTCTCCACTAAGCTCCAGACATGTGGTGACTAAAGGTGAGAAACTAAGAGAAGCTATGAATCTCACGGAAGCAGGGATAAGCAGGCTCAGGTAGACGGAGTTGTCCAATCATCATGAAGGCAAGGAGCAATGGTATGAAGCGGCGGTAAGGGTAGGAAGTGTCCCTCTGCGAGTATTCACGAATGTATCCAATTGGACGTGGGCGTATCGAGTTGACGTAGTAAAGCACCAAGTCTTCCAAAGTACATGTGTAGGGTGTCTCCCAGACGCGAGAATCACCTAAAGACGGCAAAGCCATCCAGAAGGAGGTGCGGGAGTGGCCAATCCGAGAGAAGATGACATCTTTAAGGTCGTCCACCGTGTATTCTTTATCCTCAATCTGAGCGGCAGTCAAAGTGACAGTGATGTATTTCAAGAGCTGGTAAACCAAAAGGCTGATGCCGAGCTCAAAACGCACTGTAAGTAAGGTGGGAAGCTGCGGGAAAACAAGGTGTGGAAGCTGGGCGCCAAGAAACTAGGCGCAAGTGACAGCATCAAAAACACATGAAAATGGTAACGGTACAAAAAGAAAGAAAGCGAAATCGAAGGTGTTGTTCTATCAGAGTCTCAAGATTGCAAAGCAATACTAGAGAGAAGAACAAGCGGAGTAGAAAGCGCACAAGTTCTCCAGTGGTTTTTCGAAAAATGACCAAATAGGCAGGAGGAGGGAGTACGTGTAACCGAGGTAGAAGTAGTTGACAAAGAACTGGTTTGTACGGAGAGCATCGGAGTCCCGCGTTGGTGGAAGGTGGGGGAGATCATCAGTGAGAAATCCCGGTATGTCCGGGCTGTATGGGCATCTCTTGGAGGACGTCAGGCGAGTGTGAAATAGTATCCAACAAAGTGCGCTGAGTGATCAAAAAGGCGATCAGGCCTAAAGGTGCTTGCTCCGGATGGATCTCCAAAGTGGACCAAACGGAAGCTTCCATCGTAGGATGTAGTATAGCGGAAAATTGAGACTTCACGGACAAGCGCTGGAGCCGCTGAAAAGGAATGTAGAAGTGGATAAAGAGTGATTGAATGATACACCAAACAAGGTTGACGTAAATCAAAAGGATTGCGCAAAAGACTCAAGAAAAAGGAAAACGCCGGAACCTATGGGAAGGTAAGGTGGTGCACGCACTCATAAGCACTTTTTGTCAGTTTGGGAAGAGGATCGCGTGGAGCAGAAAAGCCGGGTCTCCATATATGGACAGCGAATTGCTGTGCGAAAAAGAAACCATGGAAATATGAAGAGGCGATCAGGGAGGAGCGTAGAGGTCATCCAAGGTGACGTTGAACCGGGAGAGTTCCTCGCAGTCAATGAAGATGCGGGCACAGACCAAATGGCTCACCGAGCTACGGCGCTTGTAGAGTCCATCAATCTTGTTCCGCGCAACATCATAGAAGTGAGTGTGCTGTTGGGCGCGGGACAAGCGTTCCCCAGCCACGAAGTAGGGTCGACCCGCATTCTTGCCACCATATTTGCTGGCGGCGTGGAGAGATATACTGGTACTCGGAGGGAAAGCGGATGCAGTCATCAATCCGACCATCCTCATGACCACCGTGTCCCGTAAAGCAGCAACGACAGTAGAAGCTCGATCAAATGGCCGAACAGGCGAGCGCGAGGAACTTGCCAACGAATGTTCCATCTCGGCGGGTTCGTCGGAGCTGAGGGCCGACGACCAGGCGGAGGGGCATGATGGACGATGAGGGAGGAAGTAGATGGCGTTGTCCGCAGGCTCATTGTCTGGGTGCTGAAGGTGGAGAAGGTTTTGGAGGTTGGGCGAAGGAGGAAAAGTCGAAGCCAGGCGGAAGAAGGGGTATAGGGTTGAAAGAAAGGGTGGAACTGCGGAGGTAGTAAGAACGGCTGAGCTTGTTGTGGCTGTGGCTGGAGCGGTTGCGTCGGCTGGGACTGGTGGTGGTGGTGGTGGTTGGGCTGGTTGCGATTGCTGTTGCTGTTGCTGTTGCTGTTGCTGTTGCTGTCGTCGTCGTCGTCGTCGTCGTCGTTGAACTTGTTGTTGAACTTGTTGTTGAACTTGTTGTTGAACTTGTTGAACTTGTTGACGAAGAAGACGAAGAAGACGAAGTTCCGCAGCCTCATCAGTGGACAGTGAAGTCGGAGGTGTGGGGTTGTGGGTGGGAAAGGCTTGCGGAGGTGTAACGTGGTGTCATGCGCGGGAGCGGCATCACCAGGTGCCGGAGTGAGTCGTAGAGGTGGATTATGGCTCCCGACCAGCAGAACGATGATCGCGATCAGCAGGGGACCGCGTAGCGGACGAGTAGTGGGCCCCGTGAAGAAACCACAGAAGTCGGAGGAGCAGCGACAGTAGTCGGGGGGCCTCGCCGGCATCTTCACCAGCTTCACCATCCGCTTCACAGTCAACTTCGTCGCAATCCAGGTAAGCTACAAGAAGCGCGATCATGGGCGCGGCGACGATGATCTGACTCTGAGGAGGGGCCTGTCGGTATGGCTGATGGCAAGGCTGAGAAGCAGGTGTGAAAACACGTAGCGTCAATGAACACAAAGTTCCAAGAATTGATATAGATGGGAATGTGAGTAGTGTGCAAGTATAAGTGGAAAGAATTTCCGGAGGCTAGAGCCCAAGCGCATAAAGTACTCCAGAAAAAGGATTGCCTAAAAGGAAGGGTTGCAGTCAGTATCGTGTGTGATCAAACCCGGAGCGATCAGCGAGATCAGGAAATGCATTTAGAGACGGTATAGAAGATTAACTATAGATAACGAGGTGAAACAAGCGAGCTAAATCTAGGGGCGACGTGAGCGCGACCGAGGTCTGAGTGAGGTGGAACTAGGTCCGGAGCGGGAGCGAGCCAAGGTGGTCCCCAGTGTCGACGCCCATGTAGTAGTACCCGAAGGTGTAGTGGAGGAAGAAACAGGCGAATGGAAAGTACGAGGATCCAGGAAGGAAGTGCGACCACGAAGTTCAGCGTCCAGTTGTTCAGGGCTCTGTGTGAGGGTGTGAATCAAACCAAAAGTAGTCATCGGCTCCTGAGTGTAGTAGAGCGCAGCGCTCACAGCTTCAGTGGCTGGAAGAATGCCGGAATCCAAGCCACGAAGTTGCGTCCGAATGTGAGGGGAGGAAACTTGGTCCAGAAAGGGTGGGGAGGTAATCGCAAACCTGTAGCGGAGCATAGCAAGAGTCAGGTCCAACAATCCATGTACGTGAAGAAGTTCACGATGGAGTGCCGCTTGAGCAGGCCGAGGTATGCCCTCCGGCGCCAAACCAGCAGGAGAAGGGGGCATGGCAGGAGGAGCGGGAGAGGAGGAGGAGGTATTATCCCTCTAAGGCCCAGACAGACTCCACTGAGCCTTGAACAAGCTTTGGTCGCTGCGACCACCTCGTGGCGTCAAGCCTACTAACGTCCGCTGCGGACACGTTCTGGCACGCTCGAAAGCGGCCTACTTGGAAGGCATAAGCTAGGGATACGTTCGACAAACCCCCGTTCGACGGGTCCACAGGGGGCACTCTGCGGGCGCACCCTGGGCTCTCACTAAGGAGAGACTCGCTTATAAAGACGCGTACTGGTTCAGGTACACCAGGTTGATCAGACCTGGCTTCCACTATCACGCATAGCTTCGTTGGCATGCGTTTGCGTGATAGCCGCATGCCCCCTGCTAAAATAGGTGAAAGAAAAAACCGAAGAACAATCCGAAAGGATCCCTGCGACTCCAAGGGCTCCACACACAGACAAACGCAATTTAGTTGGCTAAGTTCATCGTTGCTCCTCTTAACTCCTCACCTTAACTCATCTCAGCTCATGTCAACCCAACTCAATTCACACAATTCGTTTTGGCTTTGTTTCTTTCGTTTTGCGTGCTTTGACACAAGCAAGCAAGCTTACACACGTGGGATCATCCTGTCCTGTAAATTTCTAATTGCTTCATTCGTTCACCATTTTGGGTTGGTAAAGTAAACTTATTGTTAAAATATGTTATCCCACTATGTTCTTCCTGGATCTGATTTTGCACTTTATAGAAGCACCGTTGCCAGTTATTTTATTTTTTCCCCGCCCATTCTATAAACACCATTTCTTTATAAAATGCCCAACAAGTGACCCCAGTGGCAAGGCAAAACACCGAGGATCTGCCAAACACGATTTTAATCCGTCTCAACTTCCAAGTGGATCTCACAGAGTTCTTCAGCAATGTAGTCTCACCTGGGTACACTCTGAGAGGACCAAGATGGGTTCCGCTACCAATGTCACTGCAGTTCAACCGCCGAGGTTTGAACGCACGGTCGCGTAGCTAACTCAAGGGCCCTAGGCGGATTGGCCCACCTTGAAATGAAGAACGCATTTGCATCATGAAGTTCACGCAGGTCAAATACGACGTGCAAACCGACATGCAACATGAAATGCAATGTTGCACTTGGGCAAATTGTTTACTCGTGAGGAAAGACCGTCCCATGAGTAAGAACTTAGGTCAACCTCCAATTGAGTTTTCGTACTTGTGCAAGGTCAAACTTTGGTTCTTCTATTTTTCTGATCATACCTCGTTTTCTCCAGTCTTGAGGCGCCAGAAGTCCCAGAAGAACAAGACAGGTTGGACTCCGTGCACTTGGGTCCATTGAGCAGTTCAAAGTTTTCGGACCTCCAGATGATCCCTTCGAGATCGAGACTGACAAAGTACTTGGTGTGGGTGGTCAAGGCACAGTCTACCTGTGCCACAAAAGAAGTACCCCCAATATCAAGCACGCAGTCAAAACCATCCCGATTTGGCGCCTCCTGATGGACCCATCATGTGATGAGAAGATTGCTTCCATCAGAAAAGAGACCGAAGTCTTGATGAAAATCCAAGGCCACCCCAACATTTGTCAATGCCTTGGATGCTTTGATGCATTCAGACCTGGAACTTCCCAAGCACAGTACATCATGATCGTAATGGAGCTTATTCAAGGTGGTGAGTTGGCGAGTTTCATCAGGAACGGCCAGGGTCTGGATGAACAGATTGTGAAGTCTGTGATGAAGCAGACAACTGAAGGCATCAAATTCATCCACGACAGAGATGTGGTTCATCGTGATTTGAAGGTGGAGAACATTTTAGTGTGTGGGGCAGACATTACACCAACTACACCAGTGAAGGTCATTGATTTTGGTGTTGCAAAGCCCCTCACTGGCACGATCGCGCGGAGTTGTGTGGGCACCACCGAAATCATGGCACCTGAGCTTGTCAGCGCAAAGCTTATGATTGCTCCGAAAGGAGCGTCCATGAAGAAGCATGGCCCGTACAGTTTCAAATCTCCACAGGACCGTGCACAAAGCTACGTTGATACCATTTCTTATGAGTTTGTTTTCATACCGGAATTTGTTAGACTTGCCATGTTCTCTTGTCAATGCGGCGTTGGCAGGAAGCCTCCCCGGGCTTTGGAATTGTGACGCAGCGCCCAGATGGCAAAGGTGCAATGGTGAACGGCATTGAGCCTGGAGGTCAAGCAGCACACTTTGGTATTGGAGACGGTTGGGCAATCTCGCATATCAACAACACAGAGGTTTTAGAGATGCCATTTGTAAAGGATTTCAACGAGATTGGTGCTGGAACAAAGCGGGGTGTTACCGCCATTGCGGAGATCCTGGGCAGCCTTGATGCTCCATTCACCATGGATTTTGTTGAGCTGCCAAAGAGGGAGTTCAGCAAGGTTGGCTATGTTGTTTTGTTTGTGAGAACAAGATAGAACAAGTGACTGCAAAAGACAAATTGTTTGTAAGATCTTGTAAGATTGTAGCGGCGGATCGACAGCCGCTCACTTGTTCGAAAGGCGTTGGATCTTTGGAGTTTGGGAGTCTCACTCTACGTGATGCTCACTGGCAAGAAGCCTTTTGAGGACACCTTCCATGGCACATTGAGATGTTTGAAAGCATGATTGTCAGTGGAGATCGAGAGGGTAATGCCACCAGCGCGAAAAGTTACATCTCTCAATAAAGTGGTTTACCAACTCAATTGGATTTCAAGGAAGCAGGCTCAGGACAGATAATCTTGACTGCCCAACACCACAGGAGACGAAAGTATATAATATAAGTCGCAATTGTGTCTGTGGAATCTTGAGTATATCATATATCCATAGAACACAATGTTTAAATCTTGAGGGGTGATCGCTGTTTCTCAGTCGCGACGCGCGCACTGCGTTATTATCTTTGGAATCTCTGTAAACGCATTCACGCAGTTATACCACAATCACCTGATTTCTTCGGATTGCAACCCACTGTATTTTGCAAAAAGAACTGGCGGTCGACGAAGCATCGAGGAAAGTGGAAATTAAGGAGAAGAGTCCTTCTTCTTGCCATTGTCACAATCTTGGCAAGAAGGGAAAGACGAAATATAGAGTGGCGCATCACCCAACCCCCCACAACCACAATCCGACCTTGTCAATTTTTGGTGATCAGAAATCACTACCTTTTCAGCTGATAGACTCAGAACCACTGCTGACGCCATACTGTGCTGTCTCGAGTTAGGCCGGCATTGTAGTGGTTGTCATCCCATCATTCTGCGTTATAGCGCGGCGACAGCGCAAACATCAGTGACTCACCGACATTACCCCGGTACACAAGCGATCCCAGTGATGCATCAAGCTGCCCCCACTCAGGCTTTTCCACAACCTCCCCAACAATCGCATCCTCAGCCTCTCGAACATTATATACCCTTCACACAACCTTACTCCCGTAAATCCACATGTTCCTCCTCACTACCCACCAGTTCCCTCTTTACCTATCCGTCACTTTTCGGCTTAACCCACCCAGCCTGCACCACCGCACATTCCCATTGACACTTCCACTGCAGCCCACTTACGCAAGAAGCACACTCACCTCGCTTTACTGCCCACAACATCAACCAATCCCGGATGAAGGGCTCGTCATCAACAGCGGTACAACGGACCCCGCTTGCCACTAAGGAGGTCCAGATCTCTTACACGTCCACAATCAAATCTCCCACACCTCCATCGCAGCGTGCCAGCCCCTTTGCCATCACCCATTATAACCCACATTACAATTCCCAACCCTCTCGAGCCTTACCACCCACACCTCCATCGGCCCCCACAGATCCACACGCCAGTCCAATTCCGCCACCCACTGTCTCCCACTACCACTCTTCATACCACCTTCAGATCCAATCCGCACAGAGGTCTATGACGTGCTTGGCAAGAATGCCAGAGCCTGTTGGCTTATGTCTGACAGTAGCGCACTTGAGCTCCGAGCACCTGTGTCAGACTCTTCTCTTTGACGCGATCCAACATACCTTCCCTTTTTCACAGGCTCAAAGTTGCTCAGACCGCAGCCATTTACATCAGTGCATTTTGGGATACCTGCTCCACGATATACAGCAGATAGCCATGACATCACCCATTGACCTCCCGCTGGCGCACAGATTACTCTTGGCACACCTACAAGCTGCCACATCTATTGCAACAGCACTGCAGAACTTACCTCACTGTTCACCCACTCAATTCACACCATCACCACTCCCACCTCAACCACCACCACCACCACCGACACCTCCCCCACCTTCACCTTCACTTCCACCTTATCCAACACGTCGACCATCACGCAGCCGCAGCCCTATACACACACCCACACACCTTGTTCCACCATCCACCACACGTCGCTGCAAAATTGAACCACCACCCACTCCACCTCGAGTACTTTCCATTTCGACACCCTCACCACAAGACCTCAACTGCCCAGGCATGTGGCGCCTGCCACCAAACATCTCCCCCTGTTTTCGTTGCACAGTTCATCCCCTATACTCCACCTGCTCCCGCACTCCCCTCACCACCAGCGACGCCACTAGCACCCACCAAAAACAACTCACCGCCTCTCAGAGCATCCCTCGCCACAATATCCAGACAATGGAGGCTGGGAACCCAGCGACGATGAAAAGCTTACCGAGCTCAAACTCAACAAGAAGGCAAGACCCAGCTGGAAGCAAGTTGCAAAAACACTCAACAAGACCAACTTTGACTGCAAAGAACGTTGGAAAACTATGGAAAACTCTTCAGATACTCTTTGAACACTCTCCCAGTGCACCATTATCACCAACCACAGCTGCATCCAAAAGCTCGTCAGCATCATGCGCCAAGAATACAGCAGATGCAGCAACGATGACATCGAGTCCAAACATCGCACCAGATGTACCCACTGAGACACCTCGTCTTGAAGCACCTGAAGCTGTCACTGATCAAGGATTGCCACACTCCCAGGAAGCTCAGCCTCACGCAGGATGATTTCCTTTTCACTCCGGGCAATAGACTCGGATACAATACGACAGTTACATGATCTTCGGCTCAAAACGATCCAACTGCATTTTGACTTCTCGCAATCTCTCCAGCTCTTGTATTACCAGTTTAGTAGTTGTCTCACTCCATTCAGTCTCACAGTTTCACCCTAGCTCTTGACATACGAGCCTTATACATCGTGTTATTGCAGCCATTTCACCGTGGCACAAACCCTACATTGACCTTCCTTCCTTTTGCTTCCCAGGCACCCCACGGCAGACTCAACGGATGCGCAAAAAATTGCCGAATTCAAGGACAACAATGTCCAGATAAATCGACTGATGGTTCGACAGCTCAATGCTCAATCTCTTGAACGAGAAAGTCAGGAGACTTCAACTATCCGACGCAGCTACTTTCTACCAGCACCCTTCCATGCCACACCGCACCAAACAATTACAAGACCTTTTACCCACAATGAAGAAAGCAATGGAGCACCAGTGTCTCAAGCTTCAGCACATCGACCCATCACTTCAGACACATGTTCTGAAACTGGCCTCCAGCCTCCAACGCACAGCACACACCCACACTCAGCCACACCTCCACTACCTTTGATCGCTCCAACACACCACCATCCAAGCCGCAGTCACCCTCCCCAGATATTTCACAACGACTCACCACCACCACCACCCAACCACCCACCACACACGGCACAGCACGGCAGACACCTCGACTCCTGCATCTTCCTATCATGCCACACTTACTTTCAGCAGATCCAGGGCGCAGGCATTGGCAGCCAACTTTCCCCTGCCCTATGCAATGTAGCCATCACTCTCATTGAACATGCCTGGCAAGACACATACCACACCTTCCTTCAACAGCCCAATCTCCACCTCTTCAACACCCGATGCGTCGACAACAGATACATTCTACTCAATGACAACTTCCTTCACTCCTTACCCATCACAACACTTGCCCACCCAGATTTGTACGGACATCCCGTAGAAATCGAAACAGTAGAGGATGACCATCTCCTTGGCTTCCTCATCAATCCACAAGCACGCACCATTACGTTCCAACTTCCCTCTCATCCATCACAGATACGTGACACTCAATCCGCAGGAAGCTACCGCTTGAGACTCTTTGGACTCCAATCACGACATCACACTCTTCAACAATATACATTCCCATCAGAACTTGCTTTCACTTCAGCCCAAGCACTTGCCCACCAGTACATTGTGCTGCAGCGCTGCAGCCCCGTCGTCAGCGAAAAAAGACATGCATCGCGGAGCTCATT